CGCTCACCTGCAAGGATCTTAACGTCTGAATCTCACTTCACTCCTCTCCCACCTGTCATGGATGGTCCCACGTCAAAAGAATACATGCTTACATAAAGAAGTGTTCCCAGACTGTACTGGAGGCTTCCCTGGCCGCACAGCGTCCCTTCGGTGCCTGACGATAAGCAAGCCGCAGCCCGGTCTGGTGCAGAGGCAGGCGAAGAGATAGGGTGTCTGCCCTTTTACCCCGCTGAGTTGGGCAGCTTGACGGGGTTATTGTTAAAAGGAGGTAAAGAAACTTGCCCGTCTGTTCGTCTCTTTCGATGCTTTTGTTCTTATTTTCCTGTGTGTGTATGTGTGTGGGCTTCTCATAATTTTGTGTTGCAAATTATTTTGAAAAAGTTTACCCTTGCCCATCTCAGCTTTTTAAAAGGGGGGGGGATCTGCCTTCAGGGGAGATTCCCCTGGAAATCAGACCTCTGGGCAGTGATTTCCCTTCGGCAACCTGGGAGCAACGTGTAAGGAAGCTGACTTAAGATTCTGTCCCAGGGGAGAAGTACAGTGGAAAATCACAAGTGGCTTCTGTCCTGAAAAGTCTTTCGTTTACTTACTTCTATGATTATTGCCCTTTGTGACCCAGCCCTTCTCCCTGCAGACATGGGTGAGGTTCCAAAACGTAGGGAGATTTTTAGAGAATCAGTGAATTTTGTATCAAAAAGTAACTTAGAGTGGCTTGGGAATCATCTTTAACTGACTACCTGGCCTCTAAAGCCAGAAACCTGGACCTCTTTCTCAATTGATCCTCCTCAAATGTATGTTACACCAAGCCTCCTCTACTTATTTCTTGCGTATCTTCTAAATGCTTGCCCTTCACCATTCCTTAATTCAGGCCTTATCTTCTCTTACCTAAGTTATCGTGACAGCCATCTTGCTAGTCTTCTTGCTAGTCTTGGATCATTTTTCACACTGCCACTGGAAAGATTTTTTTTTTTTTTAAATCTCAGGGGTGGGGGTGGGTGCCTAGGCATCAGTAATTTTTTTTTTTTTTAAACAAATTCGAGTTTTTTTTTTTTTTTTTAAAGATGACCGGTAAGGGGGTCTTAACCCTTGACTTGGTGTTGTCAGCACCATGCTCACCCAGTGAGCAAACCGGCCATCCCTATATGGGATCCGAACCCGTGGCCTTGGTGTTATCAGCACCACACTCTCCCGAGTGAGCCACGGGCCGGCCCCAAATTCGAGTTTTGATGCACATCATAATTTGCCAATGAGGCTGGCAGGTTAGCTTAGTTGGTTAGAACGTGGTGCTGGGGCCGGCCCGGTGGCTCACTGCTTTAGTGCGCTGCTTGGGAAGCGCGGCGGCGCTCCCGCCGAGGGTTCGGATCCCACATACAGACCGGCCGCTCACTGGCTGAGTGAGGAGCGGGGGCAACACCAAGGGTTGCGATCCCGGCCGCTCACTGGCTGAGCGAGGAGCGGGGGCAACACCAAGGGTTGCGATCCCGTTGCCGGTCACGAAAAAAAAAAAAAAGACAAAGAACGTGGTGCTGATAACACCAAAGTCCAGGATTCGATCCTTGTGGCCAGCCACCGAAAAATAAAAATTTGCCTATTAATAGGAGGGTACTTCAAAAAGTTAATGGAAAGATTTACATTATTATTTTTTTTAACATTTATTTGTACATATTTGTGGGGTACAGTGTATTGTTTGAATACATACATATAGTGTACAGTAATTGACTTAGAATACATAACATAGCTTTACACCCATTAGTCCACCACTCCCCCCACCTTCCTTTTTTTTTTTTTGTAAGAGATGACCGGTAAGGGGATCTTAACCCTTGACTTGGTGTTGTCAGCACCATGCTCTCCCAAGTGAGCTAACCGACCATCCCTCTATAGGGATCTGAACCCATGGCCTTGGTGTTGTCAACACCACACTCTCCCAAGTGAGCGACAGGCCGGCCCTCTTCCTGGCCTTTGATGACCATTATTCTACTCTCTACTTCTGTGAGAAACACTTCTTTTTTTTTTTTTTTTTTTTGATTCCACATATGGGTGGGATCATGTGGTATTTGCCTTTCTGTGTCTGGCTTACTTAACATAATGGTGGCCAGTTTCATCCATGTTGCTGCAAATGACAGGATTTCTTTTTTTTAATAGCTGAATAGTATTCCATTGTGTATATATACCACAGTTTTTTAAATCCTTTCTTCCACTGATGAACGTTTAGCTTGATTCCATCGCTTGGCTATTGTAAAAAGTGTTGCAATGAAAATGGGAGTGCAGGTGTCTCTTTGGTATATATTATTATTATTTTGTTGTTTTTTGGCTGGCTGATGAGACGATCCAAACCCTTGACCTAAGAGGCTCAACCAACTGAGCTAACCCTCCAGCCCATCTCTTCAGTATATTGATTTCATTTCCTTTGGATGTGTACCCAGTAGTGGAATTGCTGGGTTATAAGGTAGTTCAACTTTTACTCCTCTGAGGAAACTCCACGGTGGCTATACTAACTTATATTCCCACCAACAACATAAGAAAGTTCCCTTTTCTCTGCATCCTCACAAGCATTGCATTATCTTTCAATTCTATTTGTTCACATACTTCTTTTTTCTTTTTTATTTCAGGTCAGGATTTAGACCTACAAACTTTTTGAAATACCCTCATATATAAGAAAGTAAAAGTAGGCCTGGCCAGTTAGCTCGGTTGGTTAGAGCACAGTGTTATAACACCAGGGTGAAAGGTTCAGATCCCCTTATCGGCCAGCCACCAGAAAAAAAATGTAAAAATACCCTGGCATATGAAGCCTGTCAGATTTGGATCCTAACTGTCCAGGTACATTCCCCTTCTACAGAACTCTATCTTGTATTCAAATTGAAATCTTGAATGTCATGTTCTCTCAAGCCTGCAAGCTTCATATTGTTCCTCCTGCACAGACCACCAGGTCTACCATTCCCTACTTACCTGCCCAGAGAACTCCTTTTTTTGAACAGTGCAAATGTCAACTTATGTATTAAAGCCTTCCCTTCTCAGGTTTGTTCATGGCATTTTATCTCACTGTACTGTTATTTTACTTATCTGTCTGTCTCCCTTGCTAATTTCTTTTTTTGTTTTTAAAGATGACCAGTAAGGGAATCTTAACCCTTGACTTGGTGTTGTCAGCACCATGCTGAGCCAGTGAGCTAACCAGCCATCCCTATATGGGATCCGAACCCGGGGCCTTGGTGTTATCAGCACCACACTCCACGCTCTCCCAGGTGAGCCACGGGCCGGTCCATCCCTTGCTAATATCTAACTCTTCACAGGAAGACTATAATTTATCCATCTTTGTACTGTCAGGACCTAGCAGTACTTTTTTTTTTTTTGGCAGCTGGCTGGTATGGAGATCCAAATCCTTGACCTCGGTGTCTAGCAGTATTTTTGTATATACTAGGCAGCTTAATACACATTCCTTGAATGAACTGGTTTACCCATTGATAAGAGACTAGAGCTGTCACCAAGCTACTATCCAGGGGCCAACTTGTGGGAACAGAAGATGGGCGGGACTGGGCAGGTCTCCTTACCATGGTGTGCCTTGGACAACTGCTGATCTTACTAGATTGAGGATGTGGAGCTGGCTTCCATAAGTACTTTGGAACCATCCTGCCAGCAAGGTCAGATTCATTAAATGGGAATTTGCTGGTAGCCTATCGCATAATCTGTTCTTGGAGTATTTGTTTTGTTTTGAAGGATGGAAAATGCAAGAATTTGGATTCTTCCCTCGTTCTTTCCTCCTCCACCTCCCTCAATCTTACATCCAAATACCCCACTGTGACCACAACCTGCTGTCCTCCCTCTTGTCATTCCCATTGTTCTTCCAATTACACTGAGACCTGCAACCCCTCCCCACGCACCTTTGGCCTGTTTCTAACTTGTCTTCCTTACCCATGCAGCTTAGATTCTACATTCCACCATTTCAGCCATGTTCTTGCCTGTGTTTTGATGCCTCTCTCCCATTGTTGTTTCATTGCAGCTGCCAAGCAAAACCCTAATCTTGGGTCAAATTATCCATCAATATTCAAGCACCTATAGCCAGGAAGCTAAAGGAATCTCAACACTATGATACACGTCTATAAGTTGTGTTCCTCAATCTCAATTGGGCCCTCAATGCTACCCAGTGATCCTGCTCATTTTCCAAAGCAGCTCTTTTCCATTCTCCACAACCCATTCTTCTCAAACCTATGACTTCATCTTTCTCTTCTCTTCAGTTGACCTCCCCATATAGCCTAATGGGAGATGCAAGCAAGAAAAGCAATTACAGACACTATGTTAGGTGCTGTGACAGAGAAAGTTTTGGGGCTCTGGGAGCACCCTGGAGGGAGGAACATCTAACTTAGGCTTGAGCACGCAAGGTTTCCTTAAAACAGCTCCTAAGCTAAGTTCCGAAAGAAGAGTAGGAGTTTGCCAGGAGAACAGAGGGAACAAAGATGGAAAAGTTATTCTGTTTGGCTGGAGCACTGCGTGTGTTAAAAGATAAAATTGGAGAGATAAGCAGGGTCAGATCTTAAAGCCACATGAAAGAATTTGGACTTGATTCTGAGGAGAATGGGGAGAAAATGAATTGTTTTAAATGGGAATAATATCAGATTTATGCCTTGGACTTCAGTGTGAACAGACTGGAGGGGAGCAGAAGGCTTGCTAGGGCAATCAGCTAAATGATGTAGGCTCGAGCAAAGGAGTGGCAGTGGGCTCACAGAGCTGTGAGTGCATTATTATACAGAAAACTAGGTGACAGGAGAGGCAGGATTTGGTGATAGATTGGATGTAGGAACCGAGGCATGGAGAAGGGCCTGGGATGACATTTGGCTATCTAAATTAAGGACAATTAAGGGCCGGCCTGTGGTTCACTTGGTAGAGTGCAGTGCTGATAACACCAAGGCCATGGGTTTGGACCCCTATATAGGGATGGCTGGTTAGCTCAATGGCTGAGCATGGTGCTGATAACACCAAGCCAAGGGTTAAGACCCCCTTACCGGTCATCCTTTAGGAAAAAAAAAATTAATTAATTAAGGATAATTAGTGTAGAACTTCTTACAGAAAGTCTGAAAGAAGAAAGTAATTCAATTTTAGACATGGTGAGTTTAGGTTCCTGGGGAAGGCATGTCCGTGTGATGTCCAGCGAGCAAATGAATGCTGGATCTGGAACTCCTAGAGATAATATGGGACAGAGATGAGCTTAGGAGCAGTCAGCATAAATGTGGTCACTGGAGCTTTGAGAGGGGATGAGATCCTTAAAGGAGGAGGAGAAGGTCTGAGAAAATAAGGCCTGTGATAGAATCCTGGGGATTATGATTAAGAGTTGTATGGAAAAAGATGAGGCTCCAACGAAGGCTGAGGAATGACCAGATGAACGGGAGGAAAACTAGAGAGTTCAGGGCAATGGAAGGCAAGATAAGAAGGCATTTCGAGGTTAGATTCCTAGAACATGCTTCAACACCTTGCAATTCTTTGTAATACTCTCACACTCATGTTTTCTCATGCAGGATTATAAACTCTAGGAGCATAGGGTCTCTATTGGCCTTATTGGTTATTTTATCCTAGTACTCAGCACACCGTCTGGCACATAGTAAGAACTCAGTAAACATGAATAAAGGGGTTGGATCTATGAGGGGAGTCTCACCAGATTGCAGAAGGTGCCTTCAGGAATGCATACGTTCCAAACCACTTCATTCTCAAGCTTTGTGGCCAGTGATGGATAGAAGGTGGATTGTGATGTGTACAGAACATGGGACCTTGGGGAGTTCCGTAACCAGAGGAGGAAGAAGTAACAACAGCCAGTGGAGACAAAAATAACTGCTTCTCCTTTCTTTCCCCCTCCAAGTTCCTAGTGGAGGGCTGAGCCCAGCATCCCAGACTTGTGTGATTATATAGGCAAGCATTTGGAAAGTAACTTCCCCTTGGCACCCTATCCTTCAGCGGCTCAAGGTGTTGGCCTCTTTGCTTCCAAGTAGCAAACCTCCCTGCTGTCAGCAAGCCCAACACCATGGGGAAGGGAGATGTCTTGGAGACAGCACCAACCACTACAGCCTACCGCTCTGTCATGGAGGAGTATGGTTATGACGTGGGCAAGGTCATTGGCAATGGCTCCTACGGGACGGTGTATGAGGCTTACTTCACAAAGCAGAAGGTCATGGTGGCTGTCAAGATCATCTCAAAGAAGAGGGCGTCTGAGGACTATCTTAACAAGTTTCTGCCCCGTGAGATACAGGTTGGAAAGGGCTAGAAGAGGGAACTGAAGCTTGGTACTAAGATGGTTGAGGTGTCTCAGAAGGGGTATGACTAGGAGGGAATGGGACCAGAAACCCCCAAACTAGAACTGAACATCTCACTAAGCAGCTAGGAAAATTCATTGATGAAAATTCGACCTCTTTACTACCTACTCACTCACCTGCAGTCCCCCAGAAACTACAAGTATGTAACAGGGTTTGCCCACATGCCACCAGCCCTTGGATTCAGGGGTTGATCCTGTTGCAAAGTTCTAAATAAGCAGCAGTGGGACGGTGGGAGAGGGCTGGGAGCATAGCCGGGTTTCTCCCTTCCCAGGTTTGATGGGTCCCTCTTCCGGGGTCAGGTAATGAAAGTCTTGCGGCACAAGTACCTCATCAACTTCTATCAGGCCATCGAGACCACATCCCGAGTCTACATCATTCTGGAGCTGGCTCAGGGTGGTGATGTCCTTGAATGGATTCAGCGCTATGGGGCCTGCCCTGAGCCCCTTGCTGGCAAGTGGTTCTCCCAGTTGACTCTGGGCATCGCCTACCTGCACAGCAAGGGCATCGTGCACCGGTGAGGGTACTGCCACCTGGACTGGGGCCTTTGAGCTCTCAAGGGGGGTTTATGCATGTCTCCTGTTTTCTGTCAGTTTTTCCTACCTTGACCTCCCTCCTTAATATCTAGGCCCATTCATCTACTCCACTTTAATCGTCTGGTCAAGGACACTCAAAAAGTACTCACTGTGAGGGCCGGCCTGTGGCTCACTTGGGAGAGTGTGGTGCTGATAACACCAAGGCCGAGTTCGGATCCCTATATAGGGATGGCCGGTTAGCTCACTTGGGAGAGCGTGGTGCTGACAACACCAAGTCAAGGGTTAAGATCCCCTTACCGGTCATGTTTTAGAAAAAAAAAAAAAATAGTACTCACTATGTGTAGAGCACTTTATCAAATACAATGGTGAGCTCCCCGTGGTCCTCAAGTACCATCTTTTCTTTCCCTTTGGGCTCTGCTTACAACACCATGACTTTCTTCCTCACTACCTTGTGCGCTTATAATGGCATCTCCCTCCATCTCCCTCCTGCCTGTCCTCAGCTCTAGCCTCTGACACCTGGCCCTTCAGCTCCCAGTCTAATACTAAGCCCTCTCCCCAGCCTGACCCCCAGCCTTTCTGCTGCTGGTAGGGACTTAAAGTTGGAGAACCTGCTACTGGACAAGCGGGAGAACGTGAAGATATCGGACTTTGGCTTCGCCAAGATGGTGCCTTCTAACCAGTCTGTGCGTAGTAGCCCTTCTAACCGCCAAATGAACTGCTTTTCCCACCTCAGCCAGACCTACTGTGGCAGCTTTGCTTATGCCTGTCCGGAGATCTTGCTAGGCTTGCCTTACAACCCTTTCCTGTCTGACATCTGGAGCATGGGCGTCATCCTCTACACTCTAGTGGTTGCCCATCTGCCCTTTGATGACACCAATCTCAAGAAGCTGCTGAGAGAGACTCAAAAGGAAGTCACTTTCCCATCTAACACCACCATCTCCCAGGAGTGCAAGGTGCTGGCTCCCCCAGGAGGGCTGAGGCCTCAGGGATGACCCCCAGGGGTGGGGTGGGGTGGTGAATACCCAACCTAGGCTGCCCACCCTGGGGGAAGGCTTTTTCAATACCAGCCACCTCACACTCTAGCCCCTGCCCTATAATAGTGGGGAGGACTTAAAGGACCAACCAGTGGGCTCCAGACCTTAGACATGCTTGATAAGCAGGTTGTTGCTTCTATCCCTTTAGGCCAGAAGATTATGCAAGAGATTCTCCCTAGGGAACTCATCCCTTCCCCTCCAGGGAGTTAAATGCCTGGCTTTCCAGGATAAAATCAGAGCCATACCCCCTTTCACCAGAGTGGTGTGATGGGCTACCCTGCTTCTTTCTTAGGTGCAGCTGCTCATTGCCTGTGTGGCACAATGGGGAGCAACCTCAGCCAAGACTTCTCTCTCCCCTGCCCTAGAACCTGGTCCTCCAGATGCTATGCCAGGCTACCAAGCGTGCCACCATCCTGGACATCCTCAAGGATTCCTGGGTGCTCAAGTTCCAGCCTGAGCAACCCACCCATGAGGTCAGACTGCTTGAGGCCATGTGTCAGCCCCCCAGCACCACTAATCCTCACCAATCCTTGGAAATCACAACCTGAAAATTGCTGAGGGAGAGGGCTGAGACAGGAGCAAAGCAGGAGGGTCTGGGGCTAAAAATCTTTTATACCAAAAATAAATCTGATTTAGTTTCATCAGCTAGAGTCAAAGACATTCTTTCCTTAAGGGAACCTTAGCAGGGAAAACTGCTGAGAGTGAGGTGGATTTCTAACCAGAGTCTGTAACCAGTAATTATGACACCTGATATAAGTCAACAGTGTAATTCACAATGTGATTCACAGTGGAGGGGTGCTCAGGTCAACACCCCATTTTGGGAAGCTTTATCATTCCAACTAAATACACGCTCATTATTTTACATCTTTGTGCTTTCTAAATGTTCAAGCAGAGGGGCTGCTTGCTTCACTTTGACTATGGCTCTGCTTGTCTATAGTCCAAAGCAATGGCATTGTTTGTTCTTTTAGAAATAGGCATTAGGGAGCTGACCTTGTGGCTCACTCGGGTGAGTGTGGCGCTGGGAGTGCAGCGGCACTGGGAGCACCGGGGCCGCAGGTTCGGATCCTATATAGGGACGGCCGGTGCGCTCACTGGCTGGGCGCAGTGCGGGTGACACCAAGCCAAGGGTTATGATCCCCTTGCCAGTCACAAAAAAAAAAAAAAAAAAGAGGCATTAGGGTGTATGAAGTACCTTGGTTCCCTCCAATGCCATCTTAACCACTATTGAGACAATACCAGGGAGTCAGGGCTCCTTCCACTATTGCTCCCAGACATAGAAGTGACAGGGTCCAAACCAAGACTTCTAGTAGTGAAAGCTATTAACTGTGGGTTCTGGATAAAGGAAAACTACTTGCCCCTTCCATCCCTGTATTCTCTCCCTGTCCTTGAAAATGTGCTTTGCAAAAGGAAAATGGGTAGTAAATCATGGAGCTGTCTTGGCAGAGGCATGACTGGGAGAAAACAATGAGGGAAAACTCAGAGATGGCTCCATATAGTCCTAAGATAAATAATAGATGGCAGTTTCCTCAACCTCAGCAGTAGGCAACTCTAGGGCAAATCAGCTCGAAAGATGAAACAGTGTCTGCCTAGAACATAGGCTAAGATACTGGAAATGCCCATTTGTTCTATGGTCCAACCTCCCCTCGTTGCTTGAAACAAGGTCTGACAACCAGGGGAAGAGTTTCAGGGGCAGACAAGGAAGTATAAACATCAGGGTTCCATCTGTCCAGTTTTATTGGGAACAAGGACACAGTAACTGCTTTCAAAGAGAAGGGAGCCCAGGGCTCCATAACCAGCAAGATCCTTCAGAGTTGAGCCAGGGATGGGAGGGCAATAGACGCCTTGCTCAGGCATGGTCACACTACCACCCTCAGCAGGACCTCCCAAAAAATCTATGCTCCTTTAGCTCAGCACTTGGCACTTAAGGAAAAGTGATCAACAGAGGCAGCATAAGAAAGACGAGCCCAGACTCATCAGGATACCCACTCAGTCAACTGCTTTAGTGCATCTTCGTCTTCATCCACTTTGGAAGCTTTGGGGACAAGGATACCCAGAGAAAGAAAGAAGTGTTAAGGCCTCAGCAACTTCCAGCCATCCCCTGCTATGACACTCAGGGCCTGCTGAATTCTCTCTCCCCAGCAAAGAACCTAAAGGTTTGGTCCTTCTGCTTGCTGGGCTGCTGCTCATTCCCATAAGACCTTTGTGCAAAATAGAAAATGGTGCCTCTTGCTCCCAGCATTTGCAGCCCTAAACCAAGGTACACAGCTTGTTGAGTGGAGCACAGACTAGATTTCAGTCCCCATTCCCTTTTAGCCACGTGGCCTCATGCAGTCAACAACCTGCCTAACTGTAGCCCTCTCTGCCTGGCTCTTTTGAGGCAGAGTGGATGAAGAATAACTTTTGCCCATATCTCTCCACACTCTCAAGTCCTCAAGACAATAAAGTAGCCCTGGGTACCTGGCCCTGCAGGCAGATGTATACTGGGTACACTAGGCAATTTGATTGGAGGTTCTTCTTTCTTGTCTCCCACAATTAACAACTCCCGGGCCAATTCCTCCTGCTCCAGCTCCTCTAGTTCCTCCAACAGTTCATCCTGGATATGGGACAAGACTGTTCAAGATGAAGAAAGGAAACTTCTACTTCCAAAAACATACCACTTTTGGAGTTCCCTCCCAAACTTGCCCCAAGAGCCTCTCTTGGGCATTCTTTTTGGCCCACCCCATGCTTTCTCCAATATTCCCTGACCCCTCACCCCCAGTAACCTCATCCACATCATCTCCAAAGCCCACAGGCCGAGAAATGGCATCTGCGATCTGCTGGGCCACCTCCTGTTGTTCTGTGATGTCAGCCATCAGTTCATCCACCTTGTCAATGTCCCTGAGAAAAACATATACAGCCAAGAAATCAGGCAACAACCCCCTTGACTTTCTCATCTCACCTGAATGAACCTTCTCCTGCTTTGTGGCCTCACACTGATAAGCCCATGGCTCTCAGAAGAGATTCCTAGAAAATTATGAGGCAAGTTTGGGCAAAGAAGTAGCAAGGAGCTACATTGGAGAGCATAAGTTGGACTCCCTTCCCCAAGGATCTCAAAGAATTAGAGAAATCATCTTTCTTCCCTAGAATGCCCCTCCAGCAAAAGGATCTTCTTTCAGGAAGCAAGGAGGCAGGCAGAGGCCTAGCTGCCATAAGTATACACTGTAAATTCACATTCTGAGAGGCTTAAAAGCTCAAAGTATAATACCAAAGTATAATACCAAGCCACCCTCCCCAGAGGGTGGGTCACCTCCCCTCCCCCATACCCACATGTCCTGGTAGGCCTTCTTCATGCCTCGGGCAGCAAGCTCCATGGTACGAAGCACTTCTGCATTGCTGGTAGCATTCTCAAGGGCCTCACGCTGAAGCTCCAGGGTAGATAATGTCCCGTCAGTTTGTGCCAGCTGCTGTTCCAATCTTTTCTTCCTCCGCAAAGCCTGCAGGGCGGCTGACCCAGCCCAGACCCTGAATATCTGAGTCAGAAGCACCTGCTTCCCACCTGGGCTCTCCCCATTGCCTCCTTTCTCTTATTACCTCTCTTATTCTTGGTCCCGTGCTTCTTGGCCATTTGTAGCTCCTGTTGAATCTTCTGCTCCAGAAACTCCTGTTTCTTGATCAGTATCTTTTCTGTCTCCTTCAGTTGCTGTATTGCTGCTTCAGGGGTTGGCCCCTTCTCCTTCCCTGAAGAGTCCAATGGAGCAGGCCCATATTGTGTGAAGGAAAAATATTAGCCACTAATTATTGAGTGCACAGTATGTATGAGGTTGTTATTGCTAATCTCTAAACGATTCTCTATAATTAATGTACTATCTTTACTTTACAAATGTGAAAATGGGCACAAAGATTTTGACTACAATCACAACTAGTAAGAGATTAAGCAAGAATGGAAATGTGGCAGCATGACTTCCAAAGCCAATGTCCTTTTCACTATTTGAAACTACTGTTCAAGTCATTTCCAGTCATTTTTTATAATCATTATCCTAGGAGATGCCCAAGGTCCTGACACTGCAGGATCAAACTGAATAAAGTACAAGGGGCTAGAAGAAACAACAACAACAACAACAACAACAACAACAAAAAACTGTTCTCAATTTCTCTGTTCATCTTCGATACTTCTAACAGAGTCATTTTTCCAAATAGAAAATCTGATGGCCTTTGCTTGCTTAAAATCCTTCCTTGAGAACTCTCCATTACCTACAGGATAAAATCCAAAACTCTCTCTCTCTCTCTGCCAGAACTTCTTTTCTCTACATATACTGTACTCTTTCCTGCCTCCGTGTTTCTCTCAGGCTGTTGCCACTTCCTGGAGTATCTCAATTCTCCACTTGGCAAACTGCTCGCCTTCTGGATCACCACCCCCAAAGCCTACTTCTTTGTGCGTCCCTGGTTTTTCAGTAGCATCTCCAACATTTGAGTTTCTACATTACACTGTAAATGCCTGTTTTTGCTTGTTTTCCCCAACATATGTGAGAGACAAGAAGGTAGTCTTTCTCCTTTCCCTCATACCCCTCTTGCCCAGTACTAAGTAGCATCAATGTTTGGAAAGGACTGGATGAAGACAGTGGGAAACTCGTCCCCAGGCCTGTACAGTGGGAACCAGCACAGTCGCCACGCCCTCCACTCACGTCCCCTCCCTGATCTCGAGCTCTTGGAAGGCAGACGGGGGCAAGATGCCCTGACAAGGCGAGTCTCCTGGCACCGGAGCTCCGCCCGGCTGGGCTTTTCGGGACAGCTTGTCTCCTGGGTCTCTTGCCCTGCCAGCGCCGCGGTCTCCCCTCCCCAGCTCTGGCCAGCAGCTCCTGGCCAACCAGTCTAGCCCAGGCTCACCCCTCCCGAAGAGTCTGCCAAGACCACTCATGGTGAGCTCGCCTCTCCCGCCTCCGCCCCTCGGCGTCCCTCACACTTCCGCCTTGCTCCTGGGAGGTGACGTCTCATCACCGCCCGCCTTAACCAATCCCTCCTTAAGGCGCTGCGGCGACATCAACAGGCGCAAATAAGGCCACTGCTGTCACGTGAGCCCGGCCACCAGCCCCACAGCACGCACTCCTCTTAAAGCGGCCGCTTCATTTACTCCTACCTAAAAAGGCCTCCCCACCCCAACCCCAAACAAGGTATTAGTCCCCTGGAAGGAAATGTGCAGCTTAATGACACCCCACTATATGGGGCTGGTGGAAGAGTTCTTCATGCCCTTTACAGAGCTCAAGAAAGGGTTCGTACAGGTTCCAGCAGAAGGGGATCACAGTTGATAACATAAAATCTGCCCTGATCAGGTCAGCAAAATTATAATGCCTTGGGAGGTCTGGGATAAGTCAGTAGTCTCATCCACCAGTCCTGGAAAATGTTATCATAGGACCATTTTTACTTAGAAGCAGACATAATAGTACCAGAAAACCATAAAATAACCTAGAATGCTTCTTGTAACCCTTACCCCAGATCCCTGCATGTAGAATGGTAACCTAGTAACAATCCCAAACCTAAAGTCACGTACAACCAATAGAAAACCTGATGAAGTAATTAGGTGGGATTGTCCTCTTTCTTTTGATCCTTCCCCCTTCTTGTGATTATAAAATGCTAAGCTCTGCTGGCCCTCTTCAGAGCACATTTCTCAGAGGGATCTCCCCAGTTGCACTTATCATATTGGCTCAATGAAATTTGTGCTTTATATGTTCGGCCTCAATTTCTTTTAGGTCAACACAGTCTTGGGGTTGCCACAAGTTTATATGGCAGACCATGATGCAATCTAATGTCTCACACTCTGATCTTGGCACCTCAGGACAACCACCCCCAGTTCACAGGCTAGAAAAATAAAAACAACCCACGCTGTGGGTAAGATCTCTTCTGTCATACACAGATACACTTTAATAAATTACAAATGCACCTGAAAATGCTTTCTTGATTTCCTTTCAGTTTTAGGCCTCAAATGAGGCTCATTCATAGGGCTGGACCTCAGGGCCCAATCTGGGCTTTTGCAAACATCTCTAATCCTTGAGTTAAGGCTTGCAGATTCATTCCGTTTTGGACGTGAATGCAAGTAACACCTAGAAAGAAAAAGAAGTCACATTTCATCAGGCTTTCAGGGCTCCCCATTATTACTTCCACCTTCTGTAGGTGTCATCTGTCATGCAGACTATCCACCCTGTATATATCTACCTAATTCCTCCTAGAAACCCTTTCTCCTCATTCCCCCAATGGTTATCCTCACCACTCAGTACCCAGTTTGCTGACATCTACAATATTCCTCCTCTCATCATCAAAGAAGATCATCTGGGAGAAAGGAACTCCAGTCTTCTGCTGCAACCTGTGCAAAACAGGGCAGGGGTAACCAAGCTGGCATCTTGGCTCCCCCAGCCTCTCTGGTACTTTGTCTCCCTGCTCCTACCCTTACCTCTGCATACCTCTCAAAGTGTGTGACCTTGCTGCCCGGATAGATTTCCCGATGAACAAAGTATCTGACAAGGTCAAAGAGCTCCAGTAGCTGGTTGGCCCCTTCTATCTCACTTGTCCTGCAAACATGTGTAACAGATGGGTTTAGGAGAGTGAAGGGCGAGGGCTGCCAGCAAAGTTAAGAATAATGAGGAAATCAACTTGCTGTTTTTCCAGGACGGATAGGCATTCTCGGCCTTAATTCAACTCCATAGCCTTGTCTGACACGATGGGTGCTGAGCCAATATTTAATCATTCAAAGGCACAGGAGAGGGTACAATGAGAAAAAATAGGCAAATACTTGCAAATTTGCACCTCCTAAATTTTGTAGCCGAGGGGTTACAGAAGAGGTCTCCTAATACATGTATCCTTCAGCATTAGACGGACAGTTTTTGTCAGTCGCTCTTCTTACCGTGAAGCGGCCGCGACCGGCACCCCAAGGCCGTGCAATCGTTCCAGGACTTCAGGCACCTCTGGGTACAGTCGGACGTTCTGGCCCCGCCTATCTCGTACAGTCCCATCACTGGAGAGGGCGAGAATGCGCTCAGTTGCGGCCGGCCCCGCCTGGTCCCAGTCCTCTCTCCCTGCCTCACCTGCTCTTGTAGAACGGGGGATCTACGTGCGTGTCGACCCAGAAAGGCCAGAGCGTGTAATCTGCGAGAGGAAGCGGGGAGAAAGTTCAGCCTCGCGGGGCGCAGGGACTCGAGAGCTGCACCGGGGTGTGCAAAAGGAGAGCGCCCTGCTAAACTCTCCGCTCCCCGTCCCTCACCCAGATCAAAGACCGCGAGCTTCGGGAGCCGCGCCATGACCCGCGCCCGCAGGCTGCGCGCTCGGAGTGCGAGCCTCCTCCCGGCTGAGGTCCGGCTGCTCAGGAGGGCGCCCTGTTTGACATAGAGAAACGGCGACTAGAGTGTCGCCACGCCGAGAGCGGGCTGTCAGCCTGGCGATGGCGCAAGAGCGCCTTCTGATGCTGGACGGGGGAGACGACTGCCGCAAGGTACCGGCGCTACAGCACACAGAATCACAGGAGTCAAGTCTTCAAGGTACCGGCCACAGGCATCTTCCCTTACTTCTCCATTCCACCCAGCCTCGCCAGATTCTAAAGAAGCCAGGAAAGGCAAGCTTTTTCTTCTGGCTCCTCTCACTTTATCATACCAATTGAGACCTAAGTGATCCATACAAGTCACCCCTCATGCAACCCCTCTCTATATCAGGCTCTTGAGAGGGTGGAACCCAGAGCCCTCACTCAGCAAGATTCCAATCATAAAGAATGTAGTGTCTTCAAAGCCCCTGAGGCCCTTTTCCAACCAGGCCCAAATGTCCAGTAGAACCACAGTGGAAGAGAACTCACTCTCCTGGCTTCCACCATCCAGGAGAGTAGCATGCCCCTAGATGTGTAATAACCAGTTTTGGGGGAGGAACTAATTTGTAGTATTTGCCCATTTCTGTAAACATTTCTATCATGGCCAATTTCAAGCTACCAACAAGAAGTCAATTAACATGTTGTTGGGAAGAGATCCAGTAATTTGCTCTCATGAGCCGGTATGAACTGGCTCCAGCACACCACTGAGAGTAGGCTTTCCTTGAGTCTGATAATCCCACTAAGAGCGACATGCTTTCCATTGTCCCACTCCTTCAGCCTGGTGTAAGTGGGTGAAAACTGGGTCCATTCTGACTTCAGTCACATTTATGCAATATAAGAAAGATTCCAGGAGGCCAGGAAATATTTTATTGACAACTAGGAGCATAGCTATAAGACAGGGACACACACAGGACTCTCTGCAAACTAAAACCCAATAGCCAGCAAGGGTCCTCTGGGCCATGAACACTGCATCTTGGGGTCCTCACAGTCTCCCACCAGTAGACACACAAGACTGGGCATCTAGGGGAGGGGGGGCAGTGGCTCTGGTGACCCAGAGTGAGAAGATATATGATGCCTCATTATGAGCGACAGGATAAGGAAGGAACACGGAGGGAGGGTCCATCACTGCCTAAGACCTCCTCCTCCTCTCAGAGCCAACACCAGGTGGAGGACTGAACCACCTAGGATCTTGTAATCAGCTGCTGTTTTCTCATCATTCCTGCAGGAAAAGGAGGAAAAAACAAAAACCAAACAGCATTAGAAATACCATCTAGAATAGGGGTTCTAGATCTCAGTAAGGGGATCTGAACCCTTGATCTTGGTGTTATCAGCACCATGGTCTACTGAGTGAGCTAACCTGCCAGCCCCAAGAACAAGGGTTCTTAACCTGGGTTTCACAGGTCTCTTTGGGGTCTGTAAACTTGGATGAGAAAAAAATTCCATCTGTATTTTTACTAACCCCTAATTGAAATTTAATATTTCTTTTAATTTTGGATGTAGGCAAATAGTATTAGCAATGAGTAACTTGTCAACAATAGAAATTAGATATTTTCATATCACATTACAACTGTTTGTATCTTGAAAATCTTTCAAAATTATGGTTATTAGACCCACCATTAGATCTTATTTAATATATTAATAAAGAAGCACATATATTACTATATCACAAATTTGTTTTAGTGTTTTGATAATTGTACGTCAATATAATTAGTTTCATTTCTAATTCTATATTTTTAATTTTATGCCTGAAAAAGCTTTATTTTGAGAAGGGGATAGGCTTTACCAAATTGCCAAAGGGTCTAAGGCACCAAAAAAGTGAGGCAGGCTTGATCCACCTCCAGTAGCTGTCCCCTTCTTATCTTCACAGGAGATTGCCAGGCCCTCATTCTCACCCCAAACTCACATCTGTTTGCCACTGTAGATGAGCCGCTGCTGTTGTGGGGGGATTCCCTCTTTCTCTTCCACACGCTCCTTGATTCTTTCAACCTTTAGAGGGACAAGCAGTCAGAGAATGCTCAGGGGGAGGACCACAGAAATGGGAAGAACAAGGGCTATGCAAACAGCATGAGAATAAAAGGACCAAGTTCATAAGCATACTCAAACAAATGTACATGGCAAGGAGAAGGGCATGAAGAGGTGTTGGGCGTACATCACCTTGTCTGTGGGTTCAATGTCAATCTCAATCTCCTTTCCAGTCAGCGTCTGAAACAGGCAAGGGTTTCGTGAGTCCTACAGCCCAAAATACAATTTGTTTTCTAGGTAAAACATCCTGTCCTGGTCTCTAGGGACCTACTGTCTTCTGAGAGATACAAATTCTCAGCAATGCTGCTTTGGAGAATCAGAATGCTTTGACCATACCTGTATCTGTCAATCATTTTCAGGTTGTGGACAACTTGGTAGGGCAAGATTCTGTTAACCATCTGATCCTCTTAATTCCACAAGTCATCTTCCTTTGCCTCCACTCCCTCCAAATCAGTAAGAATGTTAGAATTCTTTTGGATGATACCGCAATGAAAGATACCCTAAGGAAGGTAGTCTATCAAGTCAGAGGGACCTTGTTCTATTATAAATATCAACACTAGAAATCAACATTAAGATAATTCAAAGAATTCTCAAGGACACCAGTAATCACCTCTGACCAGTTTTTAAAGAAATACTAGAATGCAACATCACATTCTCACATATCCTCTTGACTTCTACTTAAATCCTAAATTGCAGCTCTTGTCTTCTTAGTTCTTCCACAGGGTAAGGGTTGCTGATATCCAAACACAATAATTATACAGACTCTACAGTTATAAATGTTATGTTCCACCTAATCTAATTTCCCATTGTCCTTGCTTTTTTTTAAAGCTCTATCTGCACCAGGATGTACAGTGATCCAGAGCACAAACACACCATGCTCAGTCCAATTTAGAGGCATTTGTTTGCTTCTACTGCTTTCTTTGTTGGAATACTATAACCTTCAAAGACGCTCTAATATAAGATCTCCAATATGATGCCCAGACTTGTTCCTAGTGTACTTTATTAATACTTCCATTAATACCAATTACAGCTAGTTGATTAAGTGTTAAACTCTCCAACTTTCATTACAACTTCCTACAGGACAGCAACTGTTTAACTCATCTCTGTAACACAAACACAAAGCACAGTGTTTGACATATAAGAAATCAATAAATATTTGTGGAAGGGCTAAATACACTGATGATCACGTTATGATCACAGCCAACATTTATTGAACACTTTTTTTTTTGGCAGCTGGCTGAACACTTTTTCTTTTTTTCTAAAAGATGACCGGTAGGGGGATCTTAACCCTTGACTTGGTGTTGTCAGCACCAAGCTCACCCAGTGAGCTAACTGGCCATCTCTATATGGGATGTGAACCCATAGCCTTGGTGTTATCAGAACCACACTGTCCCGAGTGAGCCACGGGCCGGTCCCCCAGCTGAACACTTTCTAAGGGTCAGAAATTATACAAATGTCTTATATGCATCACCACATTTATTCTTTCCAAGTATTTGAGATATGTATTATTACTATTTCCATTTTATAGATGAGGAAAATAGGAGTTGGACAGGTTAAAAAACATACCTTCGAAGTCAAAAGTGGAGAGTGGATCCAAACACAGATCCTCTGGCCCCAGAGCCCTCTTTTAGCTCTGGACTCTGTACTGCCTGAGTCTAGCTGGTCTAATAGTGGGACCCAATGTAAACTCCTTCAGTAGCTCTCAAAATAACCTATGGTTTCTACTTATGTTATTCAGTCTTTGGCCATTTCACCCTGAATGTGCCCTATCTCGTCTGATCTTGGAATCTACTTATGGTATTCACATAGACCAATATGAAGAAAAGACTTAGAAAATTTCTTGGCCACAAGAATAATTCAATATTAGTACATTTCCAAAAATGCAGGAGCAACTCCTTCAGGTTTACCTGTTTGGATGCAAAAGAATAAATTATGAAATTGATTCTCAAGTTTCTATCCCAACCCACGCTGGTCTCTGAAAATTTTCAACAGTCTTTGGTAAAATGAGAAAAATAATGATAACAGTGAGATTTCCATTAAATTAAATATACTCAGATGTTAAAATTTCCTTTTATGAAATGATGGTGACAATATATGGTAATTTTTTTAAGGCCATTACCTGACAAAATGCAAAGTTTGCAGTTCCTGTGTTGTCCATAAACTATATCACTTTATTGATCTTAATACTTTAAATGCACAGATTTTTCAACCGGACAATTCCATTTCTAGGTAACTAACATGGAGGAAAAACTTGAACATGTATCCAAAGAGGCACATGTGAGGTTTATTGCAGCGCTGTTTGTAAAACACTAGAAATGACCATTAATAATAAAATCATTAAACTATGGTACATGCATAGAATGATATATTATACAACAGTTTATACACTAACAAGGAAAGATCTAAATAGTGTATAATTATATATCATTTTCTATATACAGACATATATACATGCAAGAAAAAAGGATTAGGAAGTATTACATCTCATAACAGTGATTATCTTAAAGAAGGGGAGTAGGGCTGAGGGGAGGGTATATCGAGGGTGACTCTCCCTTTACCTGTACTTTTAAAAGTTTTTATATAAATATTTTCCTTTATTACATGAATGTTAATAAATATTCATTTTGATTTGACAAACATTTTTAAAGAGTAAAAAAGATTCTAGGGAAGGTCTAGAGCTGCTCTCCCAAAAGTAAGATGCTTGGACCTTATGACAAAAAAAAAAAAAAATTACTGGGTTGAAAAATCTAAAACTCTAGGACTGGCTCTTTGTGTCTGAAATTGACTGTAGGGGCCCCTAAATATATCCAGAGAGCAATCTGGCAATATCACATCCCAACAACAACACTTCTAGGAAAATAATCATGACTATGTCCAAAAATATACCTACAACGATGGTCATCATAGCCTTTTGATACTAAAAAATTAAAAACACAGGGGGCTGGCTGGTTAGCTCAGTTGGTTAGAGCACAGCCTTATAACACCAAGGTCAAGGGTTCCCATACAGCCAGCTGCCAAACAAAGAAAAATTACAAACACAGTCTAAATATCAAACAACTGAGGGTTATGGTACAACCACAGAGGGAAAACTACACAGTCCTCAAACAATGTTTAGGATAACTAATTATTTGAAATATATTAACAATGTATACGTAATTTAAGAAGAAAACAAGTTAGATTATATAGAGTATAATTCCAATTTTGTAAAATCAACATATGGGCATTTAAATGTTTTCAAAAAAAACCTTGGAAAGATATATGAGGGTACTTCGTAAAGTTCACAGAAAGATTCATATTATCTTTTTTTTTGGTGGCTGGCCGGTATGGGCATCTGAACCCTTGACCCTGGTGTTACAACACCGTGGTATAACCAACTGAGCTAACTGGCCAGTTCCGTATTATCTTTTAATTCTATTTTTCCATGAACTTTTTAAAGAACCCTCATCATCAGTGCTTTTATCTTGGGTTGTGGGATTATGGGTGATTTTAATTACACTATTTGTGCTTTTCTATATCTTCTATTTATTATACTGTGAATGTGAATATGTTGTAATGAGAAAAAAAATTATTTAAAAAACGATGTCCTTGATTAGGGTATAAGAAAAGATTCCATAAACAGTACTGTCCAATAGAAATGTAATGCAAGGGCCAAGCCCGTGGCGCACTTGGGAGAGTGCGGCGCTGGGAGCGCAGCAGCACTCCGGCCACGGGTTCGGATCCTATATAGGGATGACCAGTGCGCTCACAGCACTCACTGGCTGAGCGCGGTGCGGCCGGTCTCAAAAAGGACAAAAAAAAAAAAAAAAAAAAAAAAAAAATGTAATGCAAGCCACGAAAACAATTTTAAATTTACCAGTAGCCACCTTAAAAAAGTTGAGGTTATCCCCATACCAGCCAGCTGCCAAAAAAAAAAAAAAAAAAAAAGAGAAGCTAATTTTAATATTAAAATCCCAATAAATCCAAAATATTATCATTCAACATGTAATGAATACAAATATTATTAATATATTTTATATATTTTTTTCTAACCAAATCTTCAAAATTCTGTGTGCATTTCATACTTACTGCACATCTAAATTCAGAGGTCAATTTTCAACTGAAACAATTAATCTGTATTTAAATTTCCTAATTCACAATTGAAAGAGTAGATTTATATATCCAAACTGTTCCAAACATACTTAAAAGTTTTCCAATCACTGAATTAAGTTTCAGTTTTTAAATTTAAATTAAGATTTCAATTCTTCAGTCTCACTAGCTACCTTTCAAGTGCTCAATAGCCACATGTAGCTAATGGCTACCATTTTGGACACCACTCAAACATTTCAGCTAAAATATTAAGCAACAATAAAATTAGAGTACCTCATTTTGTAACCCCCCAATGAAATAATGGATCTAGGCAATGACACATCACAGAAAGCAAAAACACCTGACAAGCATATACCACACTACCACCTATGAATTGTTCTCACACAGAGCACACACAGACTAATCAAGCCTCTAGATCTAATTACCAATTGACAGGAAATACAGAGGAAAGAGGAATATATTAAAGATAACATGGGGATGTAATCAGCAAAATTCAAACTGTAGGAAACTCTTTGAGACAAACAACCTAGTTTATTCAATAAGAAAAAATGGGAAAAGGGGGAATCTACAGATTTAAAGAGTCTTAAAATACCTATTGGCCAAATGCAATGTATGGATCTTAGTTGGATCCAGATTCAAATTGTAAAAAACAAATGAGACAACAGGGTGATTTGATGACAGTAAGAAATCACTTTCAGGGCCGGCCCATGGCTCACTCGGTAGAGTGCGGTGCTGATAACACCAAGGCCACGGGTTCGGATCCTATATAGGGATGGCCGGTTTGCTCACTGGCTGAGCGTGGTGCTGACAACACCAAGCCAAGGGTTGAGATCCCCTTACCGGTCATCTTTTTAAAAAAAAAAAAAAAAAAAGAAATCACTTTCAGTTTTTTAGGTGTGCTAATTATGTTTATGTTAGTAAAAAAAAAGTTATTTTTAACGGATAAATACAGAAACACACACAAATAATATATGCTATGCTATCTGGGTGTGTAAAACAAATCAGGTAAAGGGAGGTGGCCATGAGACGATAATTTTTGAAGATGGGTGAAGGGTAGATATGACCTTCTCTTGTTGTTATGTATGTTTGAAATT